CTTTGGAGAAATGTATCATTCCATCACTTGCTCACCAATGGATCCTCTGCAGTGAATGGGTGCCGTCAGAATGAGAGTCCAAACAGCTGATAAAAACATCACAATAATCCACAAATAATCCACATGACTCCAGTCCAGTCCATCAATTTATGTCTTGTGATGTGAAAAGCTGTCTATTTGTACGAAACAAATCCATCATTAAGGAATTTTTAACTTCAAAGCACTGTTTACAAGCAAAAATGTTTTAGTGTTATTATAAATTATGGAATTATGGACTATTTTAGCCAGAAACAAAAGTTTAGCAGTTAAAATATCTTAACGATGAATTTGTTTCTTACAAACACACAACTTTTAGCTTCACAAGACATTAATTGATGGACTGGAGTGGTGTGGATTACTTGTTGGATTATTGTGATGTTTTTATCAGCTGTTTGGACTCTCATTCTGACGGCACCCATTCACTGCAGAGGATCCATTGCTGAGCAAGTGATGCATTACTAAATTTGTCCAAATCTGTTTAGATGAAGAAACAAAGTCATCTACATCATTTTTTTGGCTGAACTATACCTTTAGTAAAATTTCAACATAAATTTCAACCTATTTCTTCATGATTTCACCAGGGTCTGAAAGGGCTTGCAGGAGACCAGGGACATGAGGGTCCAGCAGGACCTAAAGTAGGATCATATCTTCTATTTCCTTGCCAGTGAGACGTCTGTAACTGATATTTGTGACTTAAATAGAGACAGAGATCTGGTAGTAAAGAATGACATTTTAGAGATGTTTCCATGTCGGTTTAAATGCAGATCTTTTGCCTTTCGTGTTTGGCTAGGAATCTTTAACAAAGAGTGCCTTGAAAATCTGACAAATATATAATAGCACATTCAAATGCAAAAAACCCTAAACTGTTAGACACAACGGGTGCCTTTATGCTCTGTAAATGTCAGTTGGAATATACATGAGAGAAAACATGTACTGAACCCTTTCACCATACCTCATGCTCATAGTAGACTTAAAGTAAAAGTAGCAATGTTACATGTACCCAGGATGACTGAGATTTAGCAGAAAATAAATCAGCTTTAAATTTGCATGAACTTTAAATTCATATGAAGATCCAAATGAATCAATGACCTTCAGATTGTTCCTAGGGTGATCGAGGGCCGATTGGTGCATCTGGCCCACCGGGAGATATTGGAGTGGGATTTCCTGGTCCAAAGGTAAACTTCTCAGGACTTTTAAAAGAAATGAATACTTTTATTTAGAAAGGATGCATTGAATTGATCAAAAGTGACAGTAAAGACGTATAATGTTACAAAAGATTTCCATTTTCAAATAAACGCTGTTCTTCAAACTTTCTGTTCATCAAAAAATTTTGAAAAAATGTATCACAATTTCCACAAAAATATTACACACCACAACTGTATGAGGATAATAATAATTGTTTCTTTAGCAGCAAATCAGCATATTAGAATGATTTTTAAAGGATCATGTGACACTGAAAACTGGAGTAATGATGCTGAAAATTCAGCTTTGCATCACAGGAATAAATTACATTTGAAAATATATTAAAATATAAAACATTTATTTGAAATTGTAATAATATTTCACAATATTACTGTTTTACTACAGTATAAAAAGAGATATCATTAGCGATTTTTCTTTTCTATGGGATGTTTTGACTTGGAGGCTTTTATCAATAGCCAAAATAAGTTATAATGAGATACTTTCTTGTTCCAGAGGATTTCGTTTGTTCTTTTCCACATCACAGTGTAAGAACCTCATGCAGTGTATTTTATTCAGTTTTTGAGATCTCTTAAACGTACTTGTGGTGTGGTTATTCTAGGGAGACAAAGGGAACCCAGGAAGACCAGGTCTTCCTGGTCAGATCGGCATAGGTCAGCCAGGACAACCTGTAAGTAAAAACAGCTTATATGACTTTTAAACATGCATCTATAGATTATAATGACATAATGATACATGCATCAATGAAGGGTCCTCCAGGTTTACCAGGAGCACATGGGAACCCAGGAGCTCCAGGCGAAGGACTTCCTGGGCCCAAGGTGAGCAGCTTTAGTTGTAGAACATTTTAATAATCTAAATATTATAAGGAGCCTTTTGTGGAATGGAAACGTTCCATGCATGTTAAAGGATCTCCATGGAACCAATGATGCCAATAAAGTACCTTTATGCTTAAGCTCAGACCTCTATGTTATTATTTCCCTTTAATGGTCGTGTGAACAAAGACATTTATATATCACTTTTGAATGTATTATTGTGTTTGTGTCTTAGGGTGACCGTGGATATGTCGGTGCTACAGGTGGACGTGGAGCCCCAGGTTATGGAATTAAAGGTGAAAAGGTATGTCACAGTTGTGTGAGACCTTACTTGTCTATGTATAAGCCCATTATGCATTTAATTTAGCCCCTGAATGCATCCTTGTAGGGCGATGCAGGACCTACTGGATCACCTGGACCATTAGGAATGCCTGGCAGGGGGATTCAAGGAGAGAAAGTATTTGTTATTTTTCTGGTTTTGCATTTTGATACCAATATTGCTGTACTAGTGGTGCTACAGTAGCTGACACAAGCTTCACTATTTCTAGTGATCATAATCATCTGATTAAACCCTAAACAACATGCATGGTTTGTGATACAGACACGAATGATACCTGAAATCATGCAGCTTGCTGGAAGAAGTGTGCTATTACTTTTCTAAATGAATGGAAACATGCAAATAGAGCCACTTGCAACTACTAGAAAACCTCTTTCTAGCAACTACTAGAAATGTCCAGTTAGCCACCCAAAAGACCCAAGCAACCACTAGAACTATCCTAGAAATCACCCAGAAGACACTAGTAACCACGAAAAAATTCTGACGAACCACCAGAAGACCCAAGCCCACCACTTCTTTTCCTAATTGTCACCTTTATCTTTATATCTAAAGGGGAATCAGGGACCAGCTGGTCCTACTGGTCAAAGAGGGTATCCTGGGACAGGACTCACGGGACCAAAGGTAAAACTGCACCATCCATCCATCCATTTGTCTGTCTATCTATCTATCTATCTACACTGTGTTTTGGTTTTGTTTCCTCTCAGGGAGAACAGGGTTTCCCTGGAGAACGTGGAGCCCCTGGAGAAAGAGGAATTGGAGAACCAGGACCCAAAGTGAGCTGTCATTTCAACTAAGCTGTTACATGACATGAAAGAACAGAATAAAGTATCAAATAGTGAAATCAGAGTTGTATTTATGGGTTGATGCCGTAGGGTGAACCTGGGTTACGAGGTTTACCTGGTGAGGCAGGTGTACCAGGAGAAGATGGAGCCATGGGAGCAAAGGTCAGAATGCTCTTAATGGCATGTTAGTGAGGGATAGCTTTACATAAAAAAAATCTTCAATATCTTATAATATACTGTAAAATATCTTGTTTACTTTAGGGTAATATAGGCTTACCAGGACCCAAAGGACAAGACGGACCTCCAGGAAGAGGCATGCCTGGAGAGAAGGTAATGTATGGATGTGCTCTATTGATTCTTCAGACAAAACTGAAGCTTAAAACATTATTGTATGCATTACAGGATCTAAAGGGGAGGCAATCTCACTTTAAAGGGATAGTTCACCCAAAAAATGAAAATTCTGTCATTACTTACCCTCGTGTTGTTCCATACCCATAAGACCTTTATTAATCTTCAGAACGCAAATTACCGTATTGACCCGAATATAAGACGATGTTTTTTTCTTGGAAATACATCTGAAAAAACGCGGTCGTCTTATATTCAGGGTCTAGACTTTGACATGTCAATAATACACCCACAACAATAGGTGGCGCCAAATACGCATAAAACGAGTGTGCCATGAAATACGTAATGTAATGCGTGTTGTAAAGATCGCGAATAAAAACAAAAGAAAAAGAAAACCTTACAGCTGCATGAATCCTGACTGTCACGTTAGCATGATGGGACCAAACT